GATAAACATGTACTTATTCAATACAGATGCAATTTTTTCCCACTTTTTTGTGCTGCTGGGGCTCAAACCCAGAGGAGCTCTACCACTGAGTTTCATTCCCAGCCCTTTTCCTTTTTATTTTTTCTTTTGAGACAGGGTCTTGCTAAGTTACAAGGCTAGTTTTGAACTTGTGATCTCCCTGCCTCAACCTCCCACGTGCTGGGATTATAGATGTGCACCCCTGCAGCCAACTCCAAAGTATTTTTATCCACTGTTGATTGAACCCACACATGCAGAACCTTCAGATATTTAAGACCATCTGTATTTAGGTAGAAAAAGAAAACTATTCACAGCAAAATTTAAAAAAGCTGATAAATACCAAAAATATCATAGTACCCAGAAAAATAACATGTTTAATTAACTGCCTGATACACCTCAATATTTTCAGGGAAAAGTATATTTGTTTTGCTCTATACAGTACTCATTTATTGTTTCCTCTAACATCAAAGGGTTTTTTATATATATATACTGGGGATCGAACTCAGAACCTTGTGTTTGCAAGGAAGGCACAGTACCACTGAGCTAAATCCCTCGCCATCAAAGGTCTTGTAGTATCATTCTCTACAGAGAATACAGAAAAAATATCCCAGTCTGATCATCATCATATAAATTGTTGGGATTGTGGTCATGTCTGGGAAAGCCACCATCAAGATGTAACTATAGGGCTGGGGATTTAGCTCAGTGGTTCCACCACCTGACTTGCAAGTGCAAGGTCCCGAGTTCGATCCCCGGTACCAAAAAAAAAAAAAAAGGATGTAACTATAACTTTTTATGTGTAATTATATAATATTTCACAAGGTATGTCAAGTTTTCTTGCTCTGACTCGTCTTGAATATTATTTGAATTGACAGCATTCATTAGCCAGTTTGTCGATGTTCTCATTATAGTAGTTTATTATGAGTTTTGCATTATTTCACTGATGTGAGTATTTCATGTCCAATGAACTAGAAATTTAACATGAGTCATGTGATTCAGTGATAAGTTGAGAATCATAAACACATGACCCTGTAGGCAGGCATTCTAGCTGTGTATAGGATTACTGCCAATCTGTGCTGTACAAACGGAGGAGTTCTCACTACATCATATTTTACATCAAAAGGGGAAAACTATATAATGTATTTATAACTGAGTATATTCCTGGCAGGAGAGAATTTCTATTTTGATTTGCCATTGAAAAGAATCAAATTCTTGCTTATAGTTTTACATCTCTGACAAGAGAAAAGAGAAAAGATTTTCTAGACTAGCTTATAGTATGATAGCCCCAAACGATGTCTGTCCTCACTCCTTGAACCTCAGGATATGCCCTTATTTGGAAAAGAGGTCTTTGCAGATATAATTAAATAAGGATATTGAGATCTTTCTGGATTATTCAAGTGAGCCCTACACTCAACAATAAGCACCCTTATGAGAAACAGAAGAGCGTCGTAGTTACAGACAAGAGGGCTTCATGAAGACAGCATGCCTGTAATCCCAGCACAAGGGAGGCTGAAGCAGGAAGATGGCTACCAATTCAAGGCCAGCCTGGGCTACATAGTGAGTTCAAGTCCAGCCTGAACTACATAGGAAGACCTTGTCTCAAAAAAAAAAAGGAGAAAAAGAAGACAACACCAGCTGAAATGAGACACATAGCCATAAGCCAGGGAACCCCTAGCAGAACTGGAAGCTGAAAGAGACAGGAAAGATGTTTCCCTTGTGCCTTTGTGTGAAGGGCAGCCCTGTCAACACCTTGGTTTCAGACTGCTGGGCTCCAGAAATGTCAGTTGCGATAAGCCATCCAGGAATTTGTTATGGTAGCCCTAGGAAAAAAGCTGATACCACACATTCCAAACTTTGTTTCTCCTCCATGACCCAGATACTAGGTAAATGGAGTTGTGATAAGACTCCAGGACCCAAATACTGTACTGGATAAATGGGTTGCCAAGAGACACACCCAAGTCTGGAATCCCCGCTAGCCACGCACCTTACTGTGCCAGTAATGCAGAGGAGGGCCCAGAAGCCCTTCCCAACACAAATGGCCAGCAACAACCTAGCCACACACAAAAGTGACTGTAAGTTATGCAAATCTATCTCACAAACCCAGACGGGCCATTCTGGACTCAGCTTCCCTTTGCTGGAGCCCAGAAAATCCTCTCTCCCTCTCCATAGCCACTGAGCACACCAGAACTGTGCAGGCAAGGAAAGCAGAGTAGAAAGACAGATGTTTTAGCAGTCTTGGTTAAAATATCTGACTTCTTCGACTTAACAAAACATATCACCCTGGGACACACTACTCAGGCTCCTACCCCAGGTCCCCAGGAGGAGGAGTTATACAAGTGAGGAGTTATACAAGTGAGGAGCTCTGAGCGTAAACTCCTTGTCTTCAGGAATCGTTTCTGGGTTCATCTTCAGCCGAAGGACCCCATCTTTACCTGAGATCTAAGAGTCCACGGGCAGCCAGAATGCTTTGCCATGGGCTCAGTTTGTAGAAGGAAACTGATACCAACCCAAAGGATTAGTTCCTGTTTCCATAGCCTGATGCACAAGAAAGGTTAAAAGAAGGAAAAAAGACCTAAGAAAGCACAAAGGACCCCTCTAATCACACAGCAAAGGAAGGAGGAAGGTGTGGACCTACTCCTGAGGCTGTGTTTGGGGCAGAATGTGATGTCAGTGGTCTGCAAGAAAGGTGAGATGGGCAAATCCGACTCTGCTTCCATATCTAGGCAGGATTTCCAAATCAGGAAGAACATGTGCTCTTTCTCGACTTAGAAGCTAGAGTTGTATGAAGAGCTTTTCGAGTCTGAGGCTGCCCTCCACATGAGTCTCTTGGCTCATGTTTTCCACACCAGCGACTCACAGAGGCTTGTGATGAAGGATCCCACAACTTCAACACCTCGTGAAGGTGGGGCTAGAAGGTGGAATTCTGTGTCCGAACAGAGATGGCTACGACTTTTTCAAACAGAAGAGGGAGATTCTAGTAACTAGACTGGCGATCTCTTAAGTTGTCCAGGTGGGGCTCAGACTTAGAATTCTCCTGCCTCAGCCTTCAAGAGTTCTGGGATTACAGGTGTGTACCATGTAGATTCTGCTCACCCCCTCCTCTCGTGGCTGGTAAAACAGAGAACAGAGGAGGAATATGACTTGATCAAGGTCACACACCAAGGTGGTGGAAGAGTCAGGACCAACACGAGGGGCTCTGGTTTCCAGTTCAAAGTTTGTTCTTCCCTCCATTCCTCACTACCTCCCATTACACGACCTTCCCTTTACATGTGAACCATAACTAGATTTTTCCGAAATACTGTTCTCTCTCTACCAGCAGGTACAGAGAGCACCTGGAGCTCAGATGGGGGCAGGATATGACTCTGCACCCTTGTCACACTCCTGGGAAAGGACTCACAGATCCTGAGCATAACTTTCCAACCAAAAGGAATCCCCTTGGATTTGAAAATCCCAGAGACTCCTTGGGAAGTAAAGACCCAGGGGAGGCACTCGACCCCAAAGGAAAGCCTTCTACAAACTTTTCTGGGTTCTTAGAAAGAAAGGCCAAGAACTCTGTAAACAGGGTAAGTTTGCCAAGGTTTCTCTGTCTTTCCAAGTTCATTTTACTGTTTCATAGACCCTCTGTATTGCTAGATTAGGGTGAGAGAGTGGATGTGGTTTGTCTGAATTTTTGCAAGCTCTTGGTGAAACTGCTTGTATTAGGAAAATAGAAATACAGTGGGTTGTTTGAGTCAAAGACACTTCAGGGTTCACCCCTGTCCTGCTCTGGCCAAACTTTTTAATTAACAATGACAACGAAAATATCAATGCCATATTTACTAATTTACTGGCCTCTCAACCAATATGTTTTTTTGTTTTGGGGGGGTTTTTTGGTACTGGGGATCGAACTCAGGTCCTCGCGCTTGCACAGCAGGCGGCAAAACCACTGAGCTAAATCCCCAGCCCAATCAACCAATATCTTTTATCAAAAGCTTCTAAAGAAGAAGCTGGCAGGAAAAAAATACTTCTTCCTGAAAAATAGACAAGGACACCATTACAAAATACTGTGGCTGCTATAGATGGGGATGAAAGGAAGGTTCCAGGAGCCCCAGGAGTGGGCCCCAGGTGAGCCTGGGATTTTCCTGGGAGGTGAAAGCCTCAGAGTCTTAAGAACAAGGGAGAAGTTAGCCAAGCCCAGCTGGAGGGGCGCTGACCCACTGGAGGAAGAGACACCTATGCAGGTGGCTCCAGGCCTGCTCAGGAAGCTGAGGTAGTTCTGAGTTGCAGGAGGAGAGATGTTGGAGAAAGAGGACAGAGTCAGACAGGGCAGAGCAGGAGAAACTAGTTTACATTAAAACGTACAGGGTTTTTTTCCCTAGAATGTAAACAGGGCCTCAAGGAGCACCCCTGCAGTAGGGGACACAGACACAAAGTTCCATCAGTGCAGGGTGATGAGTGTTGCACTAGTCAGCCACTCAGGCCCACGGGACCCTGGCCACTCTCCTCCCCGCTCCACCCCAGCCACATAGGCTTCAAAGCACTGAGCAACTTCCAGCCTCAGAGACCTTCACACTGCCTCTTCCCCAGCCCAGCATGCTCCCCACGCTGTATTCATCCCTAAATCCCACTAAGTACTTTTAAGTCTGAGCTCACATATTACTTCCCTGGAGAAACCTATCCGGGCTCCCCATTAATGTTTCTCATGCCCCTCTGCTTTACTTAGAAAGCAGAGGTGACACTTTTTAATGTTGTAAAGTAATCTTGTAAAGTATATATTTACCTGTATCATTGTTGGGGCACCTGAGGGCCTGCTCAGTGACCCTCTGTGAGCAAGGATAAATATGCTATGCTAGTGATTATATCCTTGTATCCAAAACTTGTATCATGTTTGGAGAGAGAGTGAAAGAAACGATGTTCTGATTACCTACCATAACAAACCATCCAAATATCTAGAAGCTCAAAACAGCTAACATTTTATTCTCCCCTGCCCAATTTTGTGGGTTGGGCACTTGGGGCAAGATCTGCTGGATGATTTATTTCTTCCTCACAATATCAATGGATGTTACTCAATGGTGTCAGCTGGCAGATGGTCTGGTAGAGTCCAAGCTATCTTTGCCCACATTTTTGGTGCTTTGATGGCAGTGAGGTTTTACTCAGGCCTGCTGATCTGAGGGATTCTCCAATCTATTGTAGCAGGGTGGTCAGTCCTTCTAGAATCAGAATGGTCCAAGAGAACTAAGAAAGAACTAAGAAACTTCAAGGTAATTTATGACCTACCTTGAAAGTTGCAGACATTGACTTCAATCGTGTTGCCCTTAACCAAGCAAGTCACCTGGGCCAGCCCATGTCAAGGGAAGTGAGTCAACACCTTTCTCTCAATGGGAAGAGTGTCAAAGAATTTGCAAGTATCTCTAAGCCACCCCAAGGGGGAGAAGGGAAAGGGAATGATATTTATCTTTTCACAATGGTCACCTTGACTGTAGTGTCCAAGAAGGATGAAGAGGGATAAAATTCTCCTAGGGAGATCAATTCAGAACCTATGAGAAAAAGAAGTGAAAAATATAAAGATTTAAATTGTATTAACTGGAAAGGAAAAGAAGACATGTCTTTGAGAGATATTTAGGATGCAATAGGGAATAATAGTAAAAATACAAACTCTGGAGCCACCCAATCTGGTTTTGAATTCTTTCTTCTTCCATAGCCCAACTGTGAGAACTCCAGAAAATTTGTTGTCTTCTCTATGTCTCAGCTTCCTTATTTGTAAAATGAGACTAACTTTACTTACTTCACATACTTGTTGAAAGGATTAAATGAGTTAATACGTGGGATGGGATGGGGCTAGGACAGTTTCTATATATGCTAAGGGTACAATAAATACTAGCTCTTTAAAATAAAAAGAATAAACCTTTATAGGAGTCAATTTTTGCCTGAAAACAAGTGCACTGCTAGGGGCAATAGGAAAGATTCCTTCTCTATCTATGTGTTCTATTTGTCGGTACTGTGAGAAGTACTCTGAGCTTCCAAGTGTACAGCTGTATCATACTTCAGCATGTTGCAAACCCCACACCACCTAGACATGGTGGTCACTCCTTAAGTTTATGGAATTCAATACATGTGAAAGAAAAGGAACAAGTAAAGAAACCCAGATTTTAGAAGTCTGGAGCTGAGGGTGCTCTATAATATGGCCCAAGATTTAGCAGGCTAATTGGGCTGACTCCATCAGCCTGACAGCTCATTCTTTCCTCCTCTTCCTTCTTCTAGACAACACTGATTTTGTGCCCATTCTCTTCCAATGCTAGTGCAAGGTTCAAAGGACCAGCAGGAATAAGATACTGTCCCTCCAGTTAACTCATTAACAAGAAAGTGCAACGCAATGTCACAAACACCGGATCTCCAGATACAGGGCAGGGGCATTTCAGGCTGGTGAGCAGCAACCACAAAGCTATGGTGGGTGGCACGTCAGGCTACAGTGCACAAGGGGCAGCTTTCAGACCCAGGACAATGCCTGTGGTGGCTGGCCACTAGGCTTCAGGGGCATGTGAGCCTTTTCTCAGGGTCTGCCTAGTGCCCCTTCATGGAAATAGTCCCAAAGGGCACTGAAATGCTGCCTACTGTCTCCTTGTGGGGCAAGGACTGGAATTAGTTAGTTGCCAATTTCAGGTATTTTTTCAAAGTGCTTCAAAGGGAAGTAACCTAGTTAACTAGACAAAAGCAGGTAGAGTTTGCTTCTGGCCATGGTGCCCCAGGCCTCACTCTGTGCTTCAAGTACTGAGACTGTGCTCTTCAGTCCTGGCCCAACTTCCAGCAGTACAGGAGAACAGACCAACATCTGGGCCCATTGCAACCTTTACCGGCCACCAGCCCCTCAGGAGCCAGAAGAGAAACGCCAAAGTCAGGTCGTCTCAGGCTTCCCTGTGGAGTTCAGATGTGGCTCCTCAACACCAGCACTCCTGGGGACAAACAGCATGGCCTTACTCCATCAGCTGAAACATCATGGCTTAGTCTCGATGGGAGCGAGTGCTGCTATGTGGCACCACCCTCGGAGACAAGTTCCCAACCAGCGAGCTCCCAAGAGGTCAGCAGAGCACCTGACCCAGGCCCAGTGCTCACAGCGACAGGAACCCACACAAACCCTAACCCTGTGTGGAACCCTAGTCCAACCTAAGCCCAAATCCTACCTGGCCCTAACCCACAACAATCTGAATTGAAGCCCAGGCCTCACTACTCAGTGCTAACACGGAGTAAAGTACTAAAATAAACACCAACTCCAGTTCCAGTAAATGCTACATGACCTTCAGCCCTAACTTTAACTCTGCTTCTGACCTCACCCAAGGACCAAGAACATCTGGAAACAAAGGTCTCTAAGGATAGAATCACCACTGCCCCACCATCTGACTGACAGCTGCCTGCAATTTGTAGCTTCAGATGTGCCTTGAACAATTCTCCTTTGGATTTAAAATCTCATGGGAGACCACTGCCCTTATTAAAGGATTTAATACCCAGAAATGTATTTGGAAAGAACCAGAAGCTGGAAGCCCATAGCTGAGAAATAGGGCCACTTGAGGTATTTTCTCTACAAATAGCAGGCTGAGATGAAAGTTCTTCAGCAACCTTTCTCCCCCAACCCCTAGTTTGCCACAGTCGTCAGGAAATGGGATTATCTTCCATTTGCAAATGATGAATAATTGCCAGGAAGAGAGACGAAGGGGGTGCTGTGCCACAGATAGGAGAATGCACCTCAGCCTGTTTAGCTCTTCCTTATTGTGCAGCCTCCCCCAGTGCCTGGAAAGTGACTCTGGTTGCCTGGCCCAAGGCCCACGGGGTGTAGGGCTGAATGTGAGGCTACGAAGTGGAGTCTCCCGAGCCTGGCTCAAAGCCTGACTGCCGCAGGTGAGTGCCAGAATGTGTGTGGAAAAGGCAGAGGTCAGTCTGGAAATGCGACTCCAGAACAGGCTGTTAATCAGAGGAAACAAGACAAATAACAGAGGCTGAGACACAAAGCCCAAAGGCAGTGGGAAAGGAGCAGTGAAGGCCTGAACAGAAACAGTGGGATGGGGCAGGAAAATGTCATAGAGGCCAGTGGAGGGGAGCAGTTAAATTAATCTCAGGGCTCCAGTGCCTACACCCCAAGCAGTTTTATACTGTTCCAGCACAGGTTTGCATGGGAAAGTCAGATTCCTTTTTTTAATAATCTGTTTTTTTCAGATTCAAAAAAAAAGAAGAAGAAAATTTAGAAAGTACCAAATGTGTGCAGAAGCAGATTAAAACTTGACATGAGTCACAGTCATTGTGAGAGGCAGGACTCTGTCATCACTTAATAATTTCAAGAATGCTTCCCTTTACCCTCTAGGTTCAGTCACTAACATCTAACAGAAAAACAAACTCCTGCTCCCTTTCTTTGTTCCAGAGGACAAAGCCTGCTGAAAAATAACTAAGAGCACAGCCGAGGCTAACAGACCTGTCTGCTTCCTGCCTGAGAGCGAGAGAGAGCAGAGGCAGCGATGCAGTCACAGGAAGGCTCGGGATCCTCTCCGTGTGATGCGCTGGCCCTGCCACAGCAGGCAGCTACCATCCCTTCCTGGGGCACCAACAGCCCTGGCCCAGCTTGTCCGGGACCCCACGGCCAGTCCCACACCATGTCACAGACACTCGTGCACATACAGACTCCACGCACACACTCATCACACTCACAGCATGCACGCACACTCCTACACTGTCACACAGAGTCGCTGATCAACTTCTTTTCTATCCACTCAGCCTCTGTGTAAAGCAGGCAGCAGATTCATTATATAATGTCTTCCCCCACCTCTGCCTCAGCCTGGAAACTCCCCAAGTTCATTTCCATAAGCCCATCTTCATGCACAGTGCCATGCACTTAGTAGATGCTCAGTGGTGTTCACTGCATGAACTTTGAATGTCATGACTTAAAACTTTGATTCAAAAAGCAAGTTCTCTCTCTCTCTCCTCTCTCTCTCTCTCTCTCTCACCTCTCTCTCTCTCCTCTCTCTGTCCTCTCTCTCTCTCCTCTCTCTCTGGCTGAAGTTAGAGTTGGAGTTGGGGGCAGGGATTTAAGGGAATTCTTCTGGAAAGTGCCAGGCTCTGTGACAAGTTTCTCTCCCTCAGCACTAGACCCTCAGATCAACCACAGACAGACAGACAGCACCCTGCTCTTTCCTGCTCTCCCTTGAGTACAATGAGCAGGAAGCCTGTGAGCTCCTGAGAAGATGCAGAGGAGACAATCAGCTCTGCTTGAGTCTCAAGGATCCCCCCTCCATCCTTCCCTTTCTTTTCCGTTCACAATATTAGACACCAATACACCTTTTGCACACTTAATTCCAAAGAGAGGAGGAAGGAAAGAGGAGAAGAGGTTGCAGGAAGAGGAGAGTCACAGAATGGCTGCAGCTACACAGTGTGTGACCGCTGGTGAGGTCATAAAGGCCTAGGTTTGACCTTCAGCTTCAGGGAGCCAGACATAGGATGCCCCAGCTCTCAAAGGCCAGGAGACGCCCAGAGATTGGGCTGTGTTCAGAGCAGTGAATAAACCTGAGCAGCTGGTAGACCAAACCAAGAGCCCGGATGAAGCCCGAAGCCAACTGACTCCACTGTTGACTCCTACTGCAGACAGCAGTAGGACAATCAGCCACCCACTCTCTGGGGCTCCTAAAATCCCAGTCAGCAGTCAGCACCCGGCCATGCCCAGGGCCAGTCCAAATGCCAGCGTGACTTCAGAGCCACCCACCCTCTCCCTGTTGCACTGTCTGGCCACCCTAATGCTGTGCAGGGCTTTGTGGCTCCCTGTCGCCCACCCCTCCCCAGAAGTGGCAACATTTCCATGATGCCCACAGGACAATCCAACACCACACTTACCCCAAGCTCAGCTTGGAGAGACCAGGTCCTGCCCACCTCCTCCCTCGCCCACCCTGTAAGCCAGTTCATACCCAGTGTCCTCTTTTCCTGGGCAAGGTGGCTGCATCAGGCCACACCTTCCTGGCTTGGGGCAGCTTCCTACACCAACTCTCAGAGCTCATACTCCACCTTGGAGCCCATTAGCATTTTTAAGGCTCTTATTCGAGCACACATCCTGCCGGGATTGTCCTCTTCCCTGAGGCATTAGCACCTTCTACAGGCCTTTTATCACCCCAGCCCCCACCACCTGGGGTCAGCCTTCAATCCACAAGTGTCTAGGGAAGAGACTGGAAGCCGCTCACACTTCCCCAGCGCGTTTCACAGCCTCCCCCTTCCTGTTGGAGGCACGTCCTGAAGGCAGGAGCCCCCTGCCTCCGCCAACAAGAGGTGTTCCCATAATCAGTAGGCATCATTCGGCTCTAATCAACCCCCTGTTTTGACTATTTTAGCAGCAATAAAAGGGCCATAAAGAGCAAGGCAGTGGGCCCTCTAGGAGCACGGAACTCCTTCTCTGTGATATAATGAAAAACACCAAATGCTTCCTCGGAGCCCGAAGTGACAGCCCTGGCAGTGGGGCTATTGGAGGAAGCCTAATTATGCTATAAATTAAAGGGCTTTTTTTTTTAACCCAACATTATGACCTTTAATAAGATTGTTTTTACAACCAGCTGTCAATAAATCATCCAGGAGCACCAGTGAGAAGCATTTTCTGAGAACCTCTGTGAATTTCATTAGCTTCAGTTTATTTGGTTTTGGTGCTGCTATGATGTTTTTTAAATCTCAAATTAAAGGCTCTGAACCATAAAAGCTAATTCAGAAAAGTTCCTGTTTCAGCCTCGGAAAACAAGCCCCGCTAATTGCAGAAATTAGCTGAGATGTGGCAGGGCCAGGAGGTCATTAGCTGGGAAGGAATGACAAGTGGCTGAGG